CAAGCAAGGTGGGATAGAAAAATCTACATAGCCAACCCTGGACCATAAAGGACAGGTTTGTTGAGTTAGTTGTGGGAGTAGCTTTTGCATTAAAAATCCTGGTTATGTACATTCTGCTACAAATTCCAAACTAATGGAAAGTTGAATGATTCCTGAATTTGTTCTCATAGTTCTTGCTATGCATTGCAGTTGACAACTAAGCTACAATAATTATGCCCTTATTAACTCCATGGAACAAATAATTCTGATGTTATACTTATTCTTGTGGCTCAAGTCTTTAGACTACTTACTGCTTATTAGTCTACATATAATTATTTTAGCATCTCAATTAACTGCCATTTTGACATAAGATCATAGGCTTAGGGCAAGTTTGGCGCCACGATAGACGCCTTTGATCTGTTTAATGCCGCATGACACACTCACATTTTGGTAAACTAGGTCCACATAGTTGCAAGCATTAGTAACCGCTATAAATGTTGATTAATGGGATGCTAGGAACACGACTTATGCCTAGCATTGCAAGGATTTCATGTAGTCATTTATTTTGTACCAAGGATTATATCAGAGCTAGTTTCTTGTAGTAAAGGGAGTCCCTACCTTCTGGTAGGGGGTAGAAATCCATAATCTACACAAGCAGTAATTGTTTGATGAATTATATCTTCTATGTTATGCTTGTAAGTGAAGCCTAAATCTCTTAACTTCTTGGAAGAAATTTCAGGAGGTTTTGTACCTTTTCCCTCTGCCTCCAACCTGAAACACACATAAAGAAAAGAGAGCACATCGGATTATAAAATTTCTTCATCTAAGATTGTTGATTGATAGCCTAATATATCTTCATAAAAATCTTACCTCTGAAGGTTTGAACAAGGATACTTTTGAGCAAGAAGATCAATCAATTCAGACATTGGTGAGCTGCAGACACAGCATATGTATCTACCTTCTGCATTGGCTTGTTCCATCAGAAAAATATGAGCACTGCATATGTCTTCAATGTGAACCAAAGCAGCTGATCCCATTCTAGCATTTACAGCAGACAGTATTGAGAAGTACTTGGGATCACCTGTTGCAGTAAGACAAATGCCGAAAGTTACAACGACCTAGTTTTCAAGGATACATCAATTAGTTGTCCTTGTTTCTTAGGTGATTTATTGCGCTTCTTACAATGTGCTAAGAGTTGGTGTAGTTAACAAGTTCAGAATTGAAGGTTTGCTTATTTTAGGTATGGTATTTCGCAAAAGCAGAAGCCATCAGCAAACTATGTTCGAGTATGATTTTGCTGTCTGCCTTGTTATATTTCTGTTATTAATGCTTTATATATTGCATTTATTGTTAGAAAATGAGTTGGAACTTTTTTCCTGATGACCTGTCAATGGTGACAAGAGCACTTGAATGCTTGAGGGAATAGTTGTTGTGAGGAACGGACCAGCAACAGTTGTCGTTATCAATGACACAAGATCAATACCATTCTCATTAGCAAACTTGAATGCTGCTTCCTCAGTCAAAAGCTTGGAGAGGACATAAACCTGTTAAAACCAAGCATATAGTCAATTGCAGGAAGAACTATTTCCTGGGACTGGTCAATAGCATCGAACAGGAAAGAGAAGCTTTACCCATCCACTTGCTTTTGCATTCAAGACATGATCGAACGTGTTGTGGCAAGATTCATCAACAACAGGTCTCCAATTTCCATTGCTGTCTTTGGCAGTGATAGTACTGATGGAGGATGTGAAAACAACCCTTTTCACAGACTTGGATTTCGAGCAAGCTTTGAGGAGGTTTTCAGTGCCTTTGATTGCAGGGTCAATTATATTTGATCTAACGTATCCCTCTTGCAAATCAGGTAAAAAAAACTGTTTAGTGGGTGAAATGCTTAGAAGCAACTGATATAATTAGTTGGTTGATACATCATGATAATGCAGGCATTACCAATATTCTCATTCACATTGACACCAAATTCCATTGAAGCTGCCACATGAAACACACCATTGCAGCCCTTCACAGCCTCATCAAAGCTTCCTTCTTCTTGCAAATCAGCTTTGAACAGTCTCAACCGGTCACTTCCAGACCATAATGGCAGTAGACGCAAAGCCTTCTCTGAGGTTTATGGCGTCATTTTAGCCCACTCAAATCATTCATGTAGTTTCATACAACAAAAAATATGAAGCGTGTAAAATTCAATTCAACCTCCATCCCAAATCCTTGGCATAACCATTCAAAAAGGCTTTACCACCTAAATTAATTGACACCCTTTTAAAACAATTCATTCATAGTTCTTTTAATCCATATTATTTATAACATGAATTCTTGAGAACTTAGATTAATTTTTCTCCTATATAATTTAGCTGGTGGCTACATGACCATATTTGTTTAAAGTTTAAAGGTATTTTCTTCTTTTAAGTCATGAAATGAATAAAGCAACGGGGAAGGGATACACACTGTATAACCTTCCTACTGTAACAAATAAATAAATAAGAATTTTTCGAATTTAATTACAAAATATGCATGCTCTATAATTTACAGAGAGTTATATCTTAAAGTGATCAATTTGAGTACAAAAATTATTTAAATAGAAATGGGATTGGAAAATCATGAACAATTACAAAGAGAAAATTAAGACCATTACTACCATATCAAAGTAGAAATGGTTATAACATAATCTCATTGTTGTATTAATGTAAATCATACATACGTACAAGTATATATATATATATATATATCTAACTTTTCTTTTTCTTTTCGTTATTAATGTTCTCTAAATCATTTAATCTTCTTTCAATTAATATTCATATAACCTTCTATCTCACTCTTATAATATACACTTACATGTAAAATTATTAAAGAAATGAGATGAAACCTGGATTTCGGACTGTGGCATGAACCTTGCAACCTTTTTCAAGAAGAAGCTTCACCAACCAAGACCCGATGTACCCGGTGGCGCCGGTGACGCAATATGTCGGTGCCGCCACCACGCTCTTGCCCTTTGCCGGAGCTCCTAGATTATCCTCCATACCTCTCCTAACAAAGCTCCCCCAGTCAAAAGCTTATACTATACATGTCTTTAAACAATCAAACCATACATATGTTAGTAAAATTATCTCGAAAAACTATAATATAAGAATAATTAAGAAGCAACCAAACAAACAAAGACACGTGATTTTTTTGTTTTTGAAAATTGACAAAGACATGTGATTTGTTAATATTAAATTGTCATAATTATTTAATCTATTTATGAAAAAGAAATCAATGCAGTATGTGCCGCATGGAAAGTGAAGCATGCATGATGTTGGCATGGTGGCCATTTGTGTATGCATATTTTTTGATTGATGCAATATGGCAGACATATGCCAAGCTTATGTACAATATGTATATATATATATATATATATATATATATATATATACATATTGATAAGACCTGCCCTTTCTTTAGATTATCATGCAGGTAATGTGAGTTGTGAATTGTTTTTAACCTAAAAGGTTGTACTGGAAAAAAAGGTTCATTGCATTTACATTCATGTTCTTTTCACGAGGAAAAGGTGCATTGTTGTAGACACACAGGTGGATTGGAAAGTCGACAAGTAAATCTAATTTTACTGGAAAAGGTTGCTCGAGTTAAACTCTGATGATAAGAGTGAAATAATTACTCGAAAGGTTAGTCGAGTGAAACTCAAATGATAAAAGCGAAATAAAGTTCTAACCAAAGAAGAAAAGATCAGAAGAATACCTTTATCGAGAAAACTTTTTCAATAAAATTCTCTAACTAGATATAAAGGTGTGTGTGTTTTGGTGTGATATGTCTCATGAAAGCAGCAACAATGGCCCATGGTCAAAATTTTTAGATTAAAACCAAAGGGAATGGTGGGTTCCATTAGATTTTGGGGGTCTGAATCTATGTCTAGGGAGGAAGGAAAGTGATTTGCTTTAGTACTACAGATAATAATCATATCCTTGACCAATTTAGAAAGAAGGAAGGAGAAAGGGGTATTGTGAAATATTCCTGCATATTTAGACCTCTAAAATGTCCCAGAGCTAGCACATTTTGTCACAGTTTTAATCTAAGGACATGGTCCCCCTACTTGATCTGGAAAAGTTTGTTGTCTTTCATATCAGCTTGAATAATTGACCCCATAAGAATCACCATTGATGGGATTGAAAGGACAAAGTAACTTATTTTCTTGTAGTTTTTCAGCTAAGAGGGAGAAACCCAACTTCGGATGAGAAGTAGAAATCGAATTGGTTTGGAACTCTATAAGATGCAAGTAGCCAATGACACTGCACTGAACGAGAAGGACTGATTCGAAATTTTAAATATACAGACAAAAATAATGATGACATGCATTACAGGCTATTGGGATAACGAATTCTTGATCACTTCTGTTATCCTAATCCTCTTCGGAAACTCATCTTCCTGGAACTAAATCATCAAGAATGCCTTGTCAGGCGCCCACACAGCCATTTGGAAAGTGCACCAGCATTACTTCCTTTCGGCTTGGAGCCTTCAAATGTTGACCACAACTCTTTTTGGTTACTCAAACAAGTAACTAGAATGCAACTTTGTGTCATTTTCTTTTGCGAGATTTTGTTGGATTCTGATTTTTTTACGTACAAAAAGCATGCCTCAAAACTTATCAAAATCAGGAGTTTGTTATGAGAAAACGGGAAACAGATGTTTTAGATTGACACAAAATGATATCTTCATATCATTTTCACATGTTGTAAGTTCATTAGCATCGAAAACTTGATTACTATTGTAAAAAACATATTAAAAACAGTAAATTCTCATTGAAAGATGTGTAATAGATTTGGAATATGGAGCTGGTCGAGTTTTATATTTCTATAAGAACATCAAGCTGTGAAGCTTAGGCTCTTTTCATCATCCAGTCTCTGGTCAATTTGTCATAATCTGCTCGGAACTATGAAGATAATGCTTTGCTTCGGATGTGTCATAACCATTTGGAACTGCAAGAAATGAACTCTAAGATTGTGCACCATATGCATGACTTGGAGCAAGAACAATTGAAATGACTTGCATATTTAGACTACACATTGGTTTGCCATACAACAATCATAAGATCAACAGTAATATTTACTAATACCACAAAGAATCGACTTACAATGACAACCTTTCAAGGTGTTATAAGAAATTGGAGAATAAAGATGGAAGAGAACTGAGGAACATCTAGATTTTCCAGAAGCCACATTAATTTTGAAGTTATGAGTTAGGTTCTAAGAGGTGGAAGCAGCAGCAGCAGCAGCAGCAGCAGCAGCGACTTCAGTTTTCTCCTTTCCAGCTTCCTTCAGTCTCTTCCAGTTTTCATCACTGTCGATGATTTCTCCAGTCTTTAAGAGGAAGCGAACCTTTTTTCCATCATCTAACACTTTATGACCCACCCGGCTAGTGACATCTTGTTCTTTAGAATAAAGCATCACGTTTGAGCTGTGAATAGGTGCTTCAATCTGGAACACCACAATTAAGATGAGATAAACATATATGCAGGCAGAGAAGAAACGAATATTTTGCATTTATATATACCTGCAAACCAAAAACATATGTAGCTTTCCTGGAATATATACAAACTAAAAAACCAGCAACAGGAATGCAGGAAAAACTTACTCCTATCATGTCATAAAGAAACAGAAATATGCTCCTAGAGATGAACATGAGAAACATATATTTCAAATACATCCTAATATAATGAAATAAGGTATGCGCATTTTCCAAAATAGAGCATCAATAAAAGCATAATAACTTTTTTTCTTGTCGAAAGTAAAATGAACAGTATAAAGACCTTAATTATCTGTCCAGGTTGACCCTCTTCTCTGCTCTTCATATGCTTAGTCTTCAGGTTTATATCTTTCACTACAACGGTGCTGTTATGCTTAAAGATCTTGGTTACCTCCCCAGTTTTGCCCTTATCACGGCCAGATATTACTTTAATTGTATCTCCCGCCTTAACATGCATTTTATGTAAAATTGGAAGGCTGTTTGGCTTACATTTCTTCCGCTCCCATCTTTTAAGCTGCGAAAGTACGGGAAAAAAAAACAAGAAATATAGTAAATAACATGGAAACTAAACGTGTCTGACATAGCAAAACAAGGACTCCCACAATGATACTCTTTTCAAAGAGGATGCACCATTCACAATAAACCCATTATTTACGAGGCTTAAAGTTAACATAGAGCCCGACTGTTAAGCTGGCAATGTACTATTTGTCCTTTTATTAGCATGAACAAATAAGTAATTTGAATTAAGCATGTAAAGTTCATACGAAAGTATCTCCCCTCCTATCAATGGAAGAAATCAAATATCTTCCTTCTGGAAAACAGTTTAAGAAACATGCATGGTTGTTATTGCCACAAAAACTCTAAGCTATGTAACAAATTATAGTATGACTCTAGAACATCTTGTTGCAAACAAAAGGAAGCAGCAAGTGTTCCACTCTACCGTTTCTATGGTTCATGCCTTTTTCTTTCTACTCAGAAATTTTGCTTAAGATACAAAATGAATTGCAAGAGAAAATGAAAGCAGAATACCAACCTTCACTACAATGAGACAAGGATTCTCTCTTGGCTTGACCTACATGCAATAAATACAGCTAATTATTAGTCGAGCTTGGCAGTAATCACTATTGAAATAGTAATTTAAGAGTAATAACTTGAAATAGGACTCAGTTGTTACAAATCCGTGCAATCGCAATCTCAATCTCACAAATTTTCTAAACTTCTGGATGCAAGGAAGAAGACAACATTACCATATTAACTGTAAAGTGAACAAAGCATTCTCCCATTTCATCTTACTCTTTCTCATCTCTCATAGGCACAAATTCACGCACATGAAAGCCAAGTAGACATCAAAATAACAAACAGCACAGCGTCATCAATTAACAACCATCTTGACCATGCAATTTTCAAGAATGGAGAGGTGACCAATAGAGGACACCTAAAAAAACAAAATGACATCTCTAAACAAAGGCCAAAACATTCATCAATCATAAAAAGCACAGCTTATAGAACATAAGCTATTTATGCTAGGCACAAAAAGAATAAAAATGCAAGTACTTGAAAACCATCTATCCATTTCACCTATGCTACAAATTGAGAAATTTAATACATTGCGAACTTGCATTGACAGAACTCCTAACAAACAACCTTAGGCAAGTTTGTCACTAATTTGATAAAGATAGTATTATTTTTCCCTCTAGAGCCTTTAAAAAGCCAATTTATGAAAAATGGACTCAATTGGAGCACCATTCCAATGACTTAGCAAAGACTTATTCTGCTTATTCATAAATTTTAATCTCCTTATTCATAATAATAATAAAAAAAAAAAACCTGCTTTATGCAACATCTACCTCATTAAGCTCCAATTTACCAAAATCCTAAATAAGCAGAAATCAATTTCATTAAAGAAAAAACATTTCAATATCATCAAGAAAGCACTTCAATCAACACAGAGACAATTGAATAATCTAATAAAGTATATAGCTTTTATGTCAAAAGCTTGGTCCTTTTAACAGCAAAAGAATAAAGGACATTGCTTTAGTCTAAGCCAAATCCATTGGCAAATACCAACAACTAAGACAAAACTACGAAAAGGGTGAAATTCATGAGATACCCATTTCTATATAACCTCAAAAGAATTAAAACATAAGGAAAAACTGTCAATTTAGAGCGAACAAAAAAAAAGCTGAAAAAATGGTGGAATTGAGAGGAAAAGACAAAGAGAAGAGAACGTACAGTAAGAGGAGAGAGTGAAGGAGGAACTGAGAGACGTTGGCCCAAAAAGGAGTTTGAAGAGAGAGAAAGAGTGGTCATTGAGCTTTGCAACGCAGCCATGGCTGCCATTTCTTTGGCCTTTCTTCAACGGTTCAGTAATCCGAGCTTGTCCGGAGCTACTCTTTTGTTGATGACGATTAATATGGTAAGTGGATAACGAAGGTTAGATAGTATTAAAAACGACGGCGTATTAGATGTGAAGGACAATATTTTCGAGCCAAAAGATGGGCTTTGGGCTGAAAATTGAAATTTAAAAAGAAATTTTATTAAAATAATGTATTTTTCCTTTTTCCTACTAAAAATTCTTTTTAAAACTTTATAATAATGCTTTTTTAACATTACTCTAAGTTTAAAATATCTTATAATCAAGTTAGCATAATAAAACTATTATCCATCACAAGTTTGATTAGTGATTACCACGATTATAGATAGTAATTATTGATAATTAAATTTTAAATTCATATACATAAAACTAATTTTAATTTATTAACTTTTTTTATTAATAATAAATATAAAAATTAATTTTAAATTTATTTCAATCCAATATTTATTCATGTCTAAGATATTCAACGAACGGGTTCGGGTAAATATTTAAAAATCAATTAGGGTTGTTGGTGGAAGTTTAGTGGAAAGAAAAAAACATTTCTATCATTCATTTTCATTTCTAAAGTATTAATATACAAAATTAGATCAGCAAAACCAAAAAGTGGGGCAAAAAGTATTAAAAAGAGGAAAGCCTAACTATGTTACACCAAATTACAAGCAATCCCTTTTACCCCTAAACCCACTCTCAAGGGGAAATACTACACCAAACCTGCTCTTTGCTTTAGCTTCCTTCACATCCTCAGGTACATCACAAAACAAAAGACAAAACCAAGAAAGATTTTAGCAAATTAACAAATGGAAAGGAACCTTCGGCTACACTTCGAAGGTGTCAGCTGCACTGTCCATGGACTCGTCTCTCCGGTGTTCGTGTTCAGCGATCGTTATCTTAGCTTCTCCTCGCTCTAAGTCGACTGAAACCTCCTCTGCAGTGGCAGAGAGGGACTTGTGATGCTTCTTGCTGTGTCTTGTTTTCAGGATTCGTATTAGCACTTGCACGATATCCCTCATGGAAGGTCGTTTTTTGGGAGCATGGTTGACACACTTATATGCGAGGGCTGCTACTTCATTGAGCTCTTGCACATCAAATTTACTGTCCAAACGTGAATCCACAATTTCCTCCCACCCAACTTTCCCTTCAGTACTCATAGCTGCCTGTTTGTAATATCACTATTTAATTCAGGACAAGATGGATATAAGCTTAACTTCCTCAGAGAGACTGAGATTATCTTACCAGCTCAACATATTCCATGAGACCCTGTAGAGGATTTCTGCCAGCTATTAGTTCAAAAAGCAATACCCCAAAGCTGTAAACATCACTTTTTTAGTAAAGGTCCTTGTAGATATATATTCTGGATCAAGATATCCAAAAGTTCCTCGTATATTAGCAGCATGTTTGTCTACCATCTCTTCTCTTGAAAGCCCAAAATCAGCTACCTGCTTGAGATTGGCAATCCCACAAGATTAAGCCACACAGGTCACTGATGTACAATTGTACATAAACATACCAATCTTTCAGAAATTAAGAGTTATAGAATCTTCACAGTATTTCATGCTTCTCATGTAGCAATATACAACAATCAACAAGAATGTACCCTGGCTCTCATGGACTGATCCAACAGAATATTGGATGACTTAATGTCCCGGTGTACTACAGGAGGAACTGCCTGAAAAAGAAATATGAATAAAGTTACAAATGTGCACCATAAGCATAAAAATACATGCACATGGATATGCAATACATGCCTGTAAATACAGACAGGCCCATGTATTATCCAAAAAAGAAGATAAATTACCCCATCATGAAGATATTCCAAGCCCCGTGCTACATCTAAAGCGATATAAACCCTCAAATTCCAGCTCAGAGGTTCATGATTTTCACCTGCACAAAGATGAAATGATGTTTCTAATGGAAACTAGTATATTGAACTGAAATTTCAAAGAGCAAGGCAACTTCAAGTTCCTCCAAAATCAGAATTTCTTGATGGTTTATAAGACAGAGCAGGCATACTTGTTTTCAGCATATCAACTCATCTGCACCCTAAGTATGCAAAGCACTGATGACGGTATAATGCTAGCAAGGTTGGGTCAGCTCATTAATAGAGTTTTTCAGCAATGACTTGATAACAATGGCTCAATGTACTAGGGAAAAAAAAAAGATACATTTGCATTTTAGTGAAGCAGCATATTCTAAATTCAACAAGCAGAACAGTAGAAAAGACTAGGCAGTGACAGAAAATATTGAATGTCAAAGATCCAGAAAAGCATTCTTTAACAAAAACTTAACCTAGAGAAGAGTGATAACAGCTCATATGCAAGTCCATAGTACAACATTTCAGTTTGGTTCATTCAAATAAACTGATCTTTCAACCCAGATAGTGGAGTGCCGACTTACTGTACAGATGAGAAGCCAAGCTGCCTTTACCCATGTACACATAAACAAGTATATGCTGCCCCTTTTCAGCACAATATCCAACCAAATTTACAAGGTTTCTGTGATGCAGCCTTCCCAATAACATAACCTGAAATGTTAAGGGGTGAAACATTAAAGAAGTTGGAGACTGCAGGAAGGAACAAAAAAAGCACACACAGGAATCCAATCAACAAAGGCATGTTAAAAAAGGTAAATAATAAATAATAAGGTGGATGAAAGATAGTGAATTGACTTTGATTGGCTAATCAAGTTATTTCCTTAATTCATTTACTCAAATTCTTTTGACGAGATTTTTTCGAGTCAATATTATGATCCAAGTCTACAATATTTTGTTCATCTCATTCCCTCTAAAAAAAGAAAGAAGGAATTGTACTCCTTTTTTGCTTATCAAAGAATTGTAGCTCTTATCCTTCACTTCTCTACTTCTACTTGCAGTTTTTCCTAGTAGAAAAAGTGGAAATAGATATTCAAGCTAAAACTCTTCCTTGGATGTCCGCCAAGTGGTATTAATCCCTTAGGAAATTGTAAAAGCATGTGAAGCAAAAGTAACAAGAAAAAGATTCTGAAGAGGAAGTTTATTGTAGAGACCAAGAATAATATACTGCTGAACAAATGTTTATGCAAATTGTAATACAGACCAGATAAATTTTGCCATACAAATTTTCCAATTACCTCCGTCTGAAACTCTTTCTCCCCTTGTTTAGAATCAGTTGCAAGCACCTTTACAGCGACAATCTCGCCAGTTGACATCTGAGCTTTATAAACTGGGCCAAAGGCTCCTTGTCCTATTAGTGTTGTAAAATTATAGGTTGCTTTCTGCAAATCCCTGATGAGTAATGCCACCAACGAATTAGCAAAGAAAAAGCTCATTAAAAGGTACATATATTTAAGCCACACAACACCCAATTATACCACTAGTTTGCTATAACAAGAATGAAAGTATCAAGGCCTCAAACATATTATTGCATTCAAGCCATTAGCTTGATTATAGAGAAATTGCCTGCTATTAAAATAGTATTGAACAGCAAGAAATCCGATTAGTTTGACTGCAAAAATTCCAAAACTGGAAAGCCTTGATAAGTTCAAGTTATGCCACCTATCTCGGGACAAAAATCAAAGACATGATAAATTAAGCAAATTCAATTCAAGAGAAGACTACAAAAATAATTTCCCATGGGCGTTAAATCATCACATCACATGGAGAACAATACAAACCAGTCACTAACACATCTTCGATGAATTCATAATCACATATAAAACTAAAGAAATATATTGGATAAAATAAATACCACTCAAAATCAACTTCTATGATGCATAAGTGCAACAAGTTTCAAAAGAAACATACTTGTATGAGTACTCGGGTATTCCAGACACAGAGACAACGTTGCTCCTTCTAAACCCTTCAAGCCACACAGACATTCCATTTCTTCCAGATTTCACAGGTGACTCAGGACCAATAGTTGAATCCGATAATATATTACAAGAATCAGCTCCATTAGCCCTGATAGGAATAGTTGCAGCTCTCCTGGAACTGCTGTTTCCTATCTGGGATCTCTTTCTATGATACCTGATACAAAACAGTGCAAAAATAGCTAAAAGCACACCGATCACTACTCCTATGGAAATCCCAATGATCAAACCAGATGACTCTCCCCTCATCTCCACTCCCTTTTTTGCTATTTGCTATTCAAGCCTCCAGTCCATTGAAACAACTGCAAATACAATCCTAGGGTCAAATTAAGCCAATTCTAAACTATCATCAAATTGACAATAAGAAAGAAAAAACAAAAAAACTGCACCACAATTCTGGGTCAAACAATGTTAATTTTATCAAAACTATGAGGTCAAGTTTAGAACTTTCATCACATTTTTCATGGCAAATGAAACAAAAGTCAAAATTAAGATACATGAACAAAAAGACAAATTTTTCGTCTTCTATTTGAATAAGTTTTATACTAGAAGCCGCTCAAATTCACATAACTGTAAAAGGAAACCAATTGAAAAGACCCCCAGAAACAAAATTCAGTGCATAAAAAAAAAGGAAAAACAATAATTTGACTAAACCTTGTGAAACAAATATGCTTGATCTCATTAGCATTATTCAGAAACTTATTAATTATACTCAATTGAAAAGACCCCCAGAAACAAAATTCAGTGCATAAAAAAAAAGGAAAAACAATAATTTGACTAAACCTTGTGAAACAAATATGCTTGATCTCATTAGCATTATTCAGAAACTTATTAATTATACATTCATGCATCAAAAACTGAAACTTTCTGCTTATACATAGATTAAACAACAAGAATCACAAAACTGATCTGTTTGGTTACTGTTTAAAAAAAAAGAAACAGGAAAACCAAAAGAAAAAGAGTTAATGAACTCCAAAAGAGTTTCAAGAAAGCAAAGAGCATTTTGAGTAAAACCAATAAGTTTCTCTTTCCTAAGCTTCCTCACCAACCAAACAGAGTACAAACCCAGAAAAAAAAAAAAAGAGACCCAGAAAAGTTTTTAACCCATGAAAACCAAGGCCAGAAACGAACAACCCAGAATTTGTTTTCAATACAAAAAGTGATCTGGAATGAATTGATGAAAGAAAGAACACCAAAAAATAAACCTTAAACTTTTTAAGGCTACCTTTTACTATAAACAAAGCAGATAAAACCGTACATTTCATCAGTTACATGTTTTCTCTGGAGAGCAAACAACAATGAAAACCATTCTTTGAGTGGGATTTTAAAGAAGGAATCCGAGGCTTTGAGGAGTAAGGAGAGAGGCGCCTGAGAATTATTCTTTGAGTATTTCCAGAGAATTTTTTTTTTTATTTTGGGAATACGTGAGTTGCCGTTTGTATAATAAACGCGGGGGACAGGAGAGAGAGGAATATTTTTTGTTTGCCAAATTTGCCCTTCTATGTTCAATTTGACTCCTCGGGAAAATAATCGGAATTTGGACAGATTTTTTCTTTTAAATTTAATCCCTATACTATAAAAAATATTAGTTTAATATTTATATTATTATTTGTACAATTTTTTAAAAAAAATTAATTTTTTTTTTAAAATATACAATATTATTTTAACTTTTTTAAAGGATTTTTTTATCTTAAAAAATAAAAATTATTTCTACTCAATTTCACGTCCATGTTAATTAACATGATTGATTAACATAATTTGTTTCGTATATCATATTTAACAGAAGAATTATAATGGAGTTAATGAACGAATCAAAATTAATAACTTTTATAGTATAAAGGCTAAAATTTAATATTTTCTTATAATAAAAGGAAAATATTAGTGAGTATAAATTGTAATAGTATTGATTAAAGTGCTATTTATGGAAGATTTTTTTACTTATTATATTATTTTTTAATTACATAAACTTATAAACATGTAATAATAAAAAAATGTTTTATAAAAAGATTTTAAGTTCAAATCTTACCCTTTAAGCATTTAAAATATCATAAATATTAGATAGTGATAGATTATTAATTAATAATGATTTTCTATCATTAAACCATGAGTTCCTGCATGCTTTATGTACTCATCAATCTTAGTCACAGAGACATGAATGAGTAGTATAAGGTTTCACATATGAATTATACGTTTTAAAATTGTGATAGCTCATGCCATATGTACCTTTCTATTATATTAATTTTTAATTTTATTCTTTTTCAATATTATGAGAATAACAAAGTAAAACAAAATGTAATTCGATATTTATTAATTGAGTTCAATTAAGTTAATTTCTTAAATTTTTTACAATTTCTAAGTGAAGCAATAAATTTGATTAGAAAAGGATGTATAAATGTGTGGAGATAGAATTAAATGAATCATATAATTACAAGTTATTAAATCTTGTATTAATTTGTACCCATATACACATAATTATATGAATGCAATTTGGGTTTAGATCCAAATTATACTATATTTTGATACTTACCCAAAAAAGAGGAAAAGGAAAAAACCCCAAAGGATACCCTAAAAGTTAAGGCATATTGGTGAGTTGGTCCAAAGGAATACGAGGCACACTGGCTTTTAGGTGTGACCTTACCATGCTAGGACCTTTGGGTGGACTTGAAGTATGCTACCTTAACCCTTCTCATTAGGCAAACCAAAATTTTGTAGTCACCTTGGTTCCCTAATAGTTCCAATTTAGGTACACCATTCATCTACCTTATGCCTTAACCATTTGAAAGAGTAAATTAAAAAAATTTCGATAAAATATGTACCGTTTTAGCATTCGAAAGATAAAAATTATGACAACTGCATATATTTAACTCAATCGTGAATGCATGATTTTCTCGGGTTTGTTTCACTCAAGTTGGAGATCTTACCTTCTTTTGACTAATGTATATACACTTCCTTAAATGATCATGAAGGGAGCCATGCATCAACCATATACTTTCTTTAAATGATATTAGTTTCACTAAACCTACTAAGAGTATCCACACTTAGCAAAGAAAAGTGAAGTGGTTGTTGATTTTTGAAGAGAGTTTCCTCATATACTGATATAGGAGGCAGTGGGTAACTGTCAACCTAACACACCTAATCTGAATGGAAAGATTAAAAATCCATAAAGATGCATGAAAGTGACATTAATCTTGGTCATTAAAAGCTTATGACATTTTGGGTTTTAATTCAAAGATAATAATAAATAATGTCTTATAAAGTCTCCAACCACACCACTTCATTCATTCATGCCTACACCTAGTTACATAAAAAATCTTAAACCATTAAATTTCCCTTACAAATTAAATTTTCTATACCAAATTTTTACACATAATTATATCCCAACATGATTTATATATATATATATATATACATATAATTTGTTGTATTTCGACAATTTATTAAAAGAAAAAAATGTGGAGGTGATGGTCACGATCCGGCTGATTAAATAAACTTTGTATAAAATTATATGAGATATTATAATAAAGAGAAAAATCAAGATGTGGGAGGGTGCTATGTACATCACTCATTTTAAAAATGTTTAAGTTCCCAACAAGACACATCACATGAGGGGTTAATTTAGAAATAATGACATGAAAATTTGTAGCAGAATGTTTTTGACTAAGTTACACAAAAGAATGCTTCAAGAGAACAAACTATTAAGTTGTAATTAATGCATAAAATAAAAGGTTTTCCTTTCATCTAATAAAGGATTAGAGTTAATCAATCTCCTTAATCTGATTAGAAGGAAGTAATGTTAAAGAGAACCTAATTAAATAAATAATACTGTAATGATCCAAGTCCAACCACTAGCTCAACAATTTTTAAGACTTAAACCACGTGATCCTTAAAAGTTTAAGTTCAAGTAGTGATAAACTTGAATTGTTATATAAATCTTAACAATCATATATGAGATGTGGAGTATTACAATTCCACTCACTCAAATCCTTAACGTCCTCATCAAGGACACACATCACATCTATGGGATCAAGATCTCACCAAAGCAATGTGAAAGCTCATATCGGACTGGAGCAAGTTCTGATATCATTTGTAACAACTCAAGTCCAATTACTGACTTAATAGCTTTTTAGACCTAAATGATGTGACCTTTAAACTCAAGTTGTTAGTAATAATAGACTTGGATTGTTATGTAGGTCTTAACAATCACATTCATATCTGATGTGAGATGTGGAGTATCATATATACACACTCACAAAATAATCGAACCCTATTTACGTGCATGATTCTTTTTTAGATGATATTTTATAGTATAAATCACCATCATTATAGTCGGCATTAAAAATATTGGTAAGTCATAATTTAAATTAATCTCAGTATTTATCTCGTGACATGCACGTGTACTATTTATTTTGAGTCAAAATCAAAACAAGAGAGATCATCACCTAAATATAATTTTTAGATATATATATATGATTATATATGTATGGTTTTTTCTCTTTTTTAATTTGAAGTATTTTATATTGGGGAAAGGCTTTTTGAAAGAAGAAAATCTTGGATCATCCTTCAGTTTACCAACTCCTCCAACAAGGTTAAAGCACATTGATTATTACAAAAGAAACGGTCAAATGAGCCGAGACAGAGCTTTACTCTTGTAAGAAAAACGTTTGTTTTTGTCTCCTCTTACAACTGGAAAGTCCCCAAAAGGAAAAGTTTTAACCTTGGGGGCACTGTTTGCTTTACAATATTCAGTACTAATATTTGTTTGATTTCAGATTGGATTGGATAGATTAGTTTTGACTTTAGAGATTAAACCACTTATTTTATTTGTACATGTATGATTTAAAATTCATCAATCGAGTTCAAAATCAAAATCTCGTATTCTTAATCATCAGAATGTTTTGTCGAATTATTCAGAAACATATTTGGATTGGATGCTTGTACTAAAAAATCCACGTAGATGGAGATTAATAGTTCATAATATGTTCATCAACTAATCAAATTTCGAGTCTACCATTATCTCCACTATAACTTGCTTTAACATAAAGCTAGACATGGTCTTGAAAATTCCATTTATCTTAGATTGATGCTGAATTTTAACTACTCTTTAATTAAACAAAAATGAAAGGGGTTTCCAAAAATTTATTGGTCCAAATCAATATGCATTTGGTTTAATTAAAAGTTTGTAATTAAGGTAATTAATTCATAATTGATATTTATTAAACAAAAAAAAACACCTTTTTTCTCCTAATAAGCTCTTAAAACATTTATGGGCTGCCACAGAAAAAGTAAGCATAGTGCTATCAAATTTGGAGACAGAAATCATGGAAGTCTTTCTGATCTTGGTTGTAAAATGATGATAAAATGGTGCATAATATTCTATCTTTAAAAAACTATTTTCTTCTCTCCATATGACAATCATAAATTCATTTCTTCTTTTTTTTTTTTTAGCCTTTGGAGTTGCAAGTCCTAGGAGTGGATCACCAGTAAAGTATCACTCTCTTAGCATGAGGTAATGCATATATTCGATTTCATCTTTATTGTCCCCATTGATTGTTCTCATGTTAACTTGGTGGCAAAGACATATAACCCACCATTTTCCCCCAATTTTTTATTTTTCCTTTTTTGTTTTTTGCTGTATTTATGGTGGCATGAGAGTGAGGCAAAGTCCAAAGGCTTTGGCCAACTTGGGGTTGGGGTCCAAGGGGGAGGGGAGGCATGTGATTTTGCACATGTGGGTGCATGTGCTTGTTCTTTCAAAAACATAAATAGTAAAAGAGTTTCATGTCGGGCTCTTATGGGGATGATTTGTATGGGTACAAGCTAGTTGGGGGGGGGGGGGGAGGGCGGGGGGGGGGGGGGGGGGAAGGGGGGGGGGTGGGGGGGGGGGGTACCTTGTTTTATTATTTGTTTTGGTTTATTTTGATGAGAAGAATCAATTGAAAGAGAGTTTAGTACTTACGTTCATTTAAAATGAATGAAATCATAGAGATAAGTCAAAACCTAGAAATCAAATTTGTAGGGCCTTGGCAAGAGGAAGCTTGGCATGGAACTATGGGAATATATGGGAGTTTACAATACTTCTTTTTTTTTATGGGGTTTTTTTTTTATAAAGAGAAATATTATTTGACCTTATTTTGTTTTTACTATTTGTCTCTCTTTGTACCGTAAAATTTTATTGAATAATTAAAAGGTGGTGAGATATATGGTTTATGACAGTTTGATTCATTTGTAAATATAATATGAAAATTAAAGTAATAAAAATTTGCCATATCAAGAGAAATAAATAGTAAAGAGAAAAGTATAAGGTCAATCTCAAAAGATAGATGAAACCCATTTAAGAAAAAATGTAGGAAGAAAGAAATGCTAAAGATGGAAGAGATTTCAACGATTGTGATAAATGCAA